TTTGCCATTGAGTTGGATAATACCTGTAGGAGTTCGATAAAAAATGTAAACCGAAGTAACAATAACAATCGATAAATTTATTTTATTCCATATATAAATATGCATATACATATGTCGTATTCTTATCATACACGTATGACCTATGACCCTCATATCCATGAATGAACACTTCTCTTGACACGTTCACATTTTTTTGTTATTTCGACTTTTTCCAAATCACATACTAATCTTATTTATTTTGTAATTAAAAAAGATTATAATAAATTCAAAGAAATTATTTATTAAGTCAATTCGCTAGGAATTGAATGTTGTTTTACACATAAGAAGTACAGATAATTTCTTTCATAAAAACTTAATAGACGCTGACGACTGTTTATCTCAAATATAATTAATATCTTTATATTGGAAGTTGGTTTTATTGAAATGTACTTATAGAGTTATGTGTTGATATTTTTGATGAATGGATTTTAATGAAGGTAATTCATATAATTTTGTTGTCGTTATATTTATTAAACATCGATTATATTAAAATTATAAAAAAATTAGTTTCAAATATTGATAAACTAATATGAAATATTTATACTATTTATTATAATTGGGTCAATAGATGTTCCAGATACATATATTGATTTTAATTGAATATTTGGGGATGCTTTTAATCATGATTGATTTTATAATCCATTTTTATCCAATTTTATATCTCATGAAACTTGTAGTGTTTTCTCGATAATGCTTAAATTTTATAGTTTGTTTTTGCCAATGAATGAATAAAATTTGTTCATATCACAACAAATAACACTAACAACTATCTGACTATGTTCAGCAAAACTTTCAGCTAATTCATCATTGTAGAAATGTGTTTTTTGCTATTTTCCAAAACTTTGTTATCTGGTCTTTTTATCCCATACACGGGGTAAAACGAGACATCCAGGAATCAAACAGATGTAATGTCTATTTTCAATTTTGAAGAAACTTTGCGAAATAATAGCTACAATATTTAACCAATGCAAAATATAAATTACATGGATACATTTTTTACAAAAATTTCATTATATAATCTTTATCTCGTGTTTCAGAGAATTCATTAGCAGAGTTGGAAAAACTTTTTATTTAATTTATATCTTGTAAATTTTTTTAACTTAATTTACTTTTTAACTACTTTTTTATTGTTTACACCTTTGCCAGGGTAAAGACTAAGTTGATTTTTTTTTTACCCCACCCACGTGCAAGCTTTTATAGAGGTTATATAAAAAAAACTGTTGATTATAACTTAAAATTAACAACACATAAAACAATTTAATAACGAATATACTGAAGACATATATTAAAGTCTCGTAAACTAAACAACAGTGCTCACAACCAAAAAAACTAACAACGAAAGAAAATATTTTTGTTATGGTAAAAAATTCTCAACTTTACTTGTTTTTGAGATATCAGAGTCAGACCTTTAAGCCCCGTTCTATTCTATATATATATATATATATATATATATATATATATATATGTGTGTGTGTATATTAAGGTGGTCCTTAATATGGACATTTTCCGAACTTCCTTGCTCCCAAGGGTTTAAATGGTACCAAATTGATAAAAAACAATTCTCTCAAAGTTTTAACTCTTAATATTGTTTTTTAGATAGTGCGCAATTCAATCAAAGTTATTTGTATGAAAATAGCATGAAATTTTTTTCAAACATTCCAAAAATGTTTTTAGATATAATTTAGCGAGCAAATAAATGAGTTTTATTCATTTGTCGCTAAATTATACTTTTTTTTTTTGTTTTTTTTTTGCATACTTTTATTGTCAATCAAAATTAAATACATTTTTTAAGACAATGTGATGTTGGTTAAATTATACTTAAATTTTTTTTTTTTAATTTTCAAAATTTATTCCATGCTATTTCCATACGAAGTTTGATTGAGTTGCGCACTATCTAAAAGTTATTATTAAGAGCTAAAACTTTCAGAGAATTGTTTTTTATCAATTTGGAACCATTTGAGCCTTTGGGAGCAAGGAAATTCGGCAATGTCCATATTAAGGACCACTCTAATGTATATATACATATATACTGTGAATAAATTATACTATTTATTGAGTCGCCAAAAATCTGAAAAATTTGATCTCTTGACTGAAGTAATAAAATATAATGTTTATTAACTTAATTTGCGACAGTCGGTAAATTTGGCAGATAGTGTCAACTCGCCGAAAAATTTTAAAGAATGAATTCATATATTTAAATGCGAAGGACAGCCAAGTTCATGTCCTGTGTTTCTTTCCTCAATATGAGAATGTCAAGATCTTATCGTCGCGTCGGGACGAACTAACGATATAATAATTAATTTTGGCTCTTGGATATTTATTGTTTTCGTATTAGGTTTCATAATTGATTACAGCGGACAAAACCGTCTATTCGATTAGAAGAAATTTTATTTTGATAACTAGTTATTTTTGATTATGTTTAATTAGTGAATCATTAATTAATGCTTCGATTGAACGTGCTTGCTTACGAAAAACAAGTAGTAATCGTCGCGGGATAAATTCTTTAAAATTCCACGCATTTGGAAATTAACAGTAAAACTCCTTTAAGACGATTTTATAGTGACGAGACAAAAACGCATCTCAGAACGCAAAAAAAAGTGTTATGCAGGATAAGTGCAATATGTTTCAAAGTGCAGTATGCAAGAAATCTTATGCTTACCATAATCGTCTTAACGGGGTTCTACTACATATGCAATAACTAAGGAGTATTTTTAATTAGAATAATTATAATTTTTTGTTATATCGTTAAGAACTATAATTTTTTTTTTATATATGTGTGTGTAAATTTGAAAAACTACATTTTGCGAATAATGATGGTATTAAGTTTAAGGTAACGTGGTATAAATTTGCTTTATATAAGAGATTTGTAGTTATAATATGAAGAATACATTTTATTAAATCACTTGACGTTTTATTCCTATATACTTTAATGAGTATTCAGAAATTTGATTTAGATTAAGTGGGTAATCTTGTGTAAAGGCATAAATTTCAGGTCATTTTGAAATCATCATAAAAACAGGTAATTGATTTTTACATTATCATCTATTTTTATAATTTATTTGTCAACGTTAAAAGAGTACAGAAAAAAATTTAAAAAAAAAATTTAAAAAAAATGTGTTTGAAGTGAGGGGTCTCAAAAAGTTGACACGTAACCATGCCCACGATGGCAACCCTTCTAGTAATCCGAAATGAAAAAAATTAAAAGATTATTAATCTAGAATGATGTCGCAATTGTATATAATAGGATTCAGTTAAAAAAATTAATTTTTGACCAAATGGCTCAAAGGATCAATTTCTCTACATTTTTTTTGAGTTTCTCGAACTTTTCAAAAATAGTGAAAATAAAAATTTAGAGATGAGGATAGTATATGCCTGAAAGAAGTTACGAAAGAAGATTCTTCTAAAATTTCAAGTAAATCGGTCTAGTACAAATCGTGAAATCGTGAGCACTGTATTGAAAAAAACAGTTTCGAGAAAAACGTGTTTAAAATTTCGCAAAAGGAAGGAAACAGAAGAGGATTATCATGGTCAAACAGCTATATTTTCCAAGATAATATAATTTTTTAAAAATACTGTCGTCATTAATGGTTAAACTTTGAAAATATAAAAAAAACTATGAAATTCTATACTAGAATTCATAATTCTATTCTATGATTCTATACTAGAATACCTCCATAAGTCAACTATATGAAAATAATTGATTATATTTGCCACATCTAATAAATAAATGAGCTGTTCTTTTATATGCAAGAATTATGAGTATATTTTTTCGTAAATTGTTAGGATATAAATATTTATGTGACAACATTGTACGATAAATCTGTAGGCTAATACTACATTTAAAAAATACCAGTTCGAATGAATTTGATTAACATACCAAAGCGACTTTTTAGACAAAAATTAATGTGATGATTTTATCAATACAACTTTTAGAATTGTTTTCTTGTTCGTTAATTTTTTATTATCAAATTTGCATGATAACATTTGCAAAATTATTTGTGACAATTAATTAGTAAACCAGTAAGTAATTATATTCAAGAATAGTAAAAAAGAATCGTAAAATCCAAATTATGAAGGTGACAATAATTTGCGAATTTTTATTACTAGATTATCCATGTATTGTTGACGATATATTAAATACAAAAATATATATTAAATATCTAATAATTTAAAAAGAAAAAAGAAAGCTTAAATGTAAATAGTAAATATGAATAAGAAAAATAGTAAAAAGATATTTTCTGGGTTGATTATCTTATTATCCATAACTAAGTCCATTTTTCGGTTGTATATTGTTGTATATTGTTGTATATTGTAATGTGTAACAATATATTAAATGTTAGAAAAATTAAAATAAAGATAGCACAAACAAAAATATTATAGTAATATGGTATGGATATTTTCTCGGTTAATTATCTTGTTATTCATAACACAGGCCAACAATGAAAATAGTGCAAACGATTTTAATGCTGTTTTTAAGTAAATTTGGGGCGCTGATTTCAAAAATGACATAGGTTTATTTTCTATGAGCTTTAGTTTTCAAGATATGATATATAAGGAATGAAAGTACAAAATAGTAATACAATTCAAAATGTTATTTTAATGAGATATGCTTACTCGTACATACAAACTTACAAGACCCATTCGGCCTTAGTTGGGACATTAGTTGACACTGTAAAAAGTTCTTTTCTGTGACGACCTAGAATGGACCTGGTTTCGGCAACTTGTTTCCAAGTTCCAAACTAGAGCTGATACAAAAAAATGGTTTGCAGATTTGAAATCAGCGCAAAAAATACTATAGGAATCAGCTCTAACATTTGACGCACCAAACAAAAAAAAATTGTTTGTAGGCCTGTGTAATTAAATACATCAATGTTTCGTTTCCATATGAAAACTAGATCAAATATTACTAGATATGAATTATTATTTTCTATTATCTCTATAAGAATTTTGACTGAATTTACCTTTTGATAAAGAAAAGGATGAGTCAAAGCCAGGAACCTCTCAACAGCCATAACAATCGCAATGCATCCCGCCACCAATCCAAACATTCTCCAAATGACCCTAAGGACGCAGAAGCTGTACTTTCCTCCAAAACCTTGAGGAACATACAATTCCAGGTTCATCTGCACCAGCATTCCTATCAGAGCCACAAGTCCGTTGCAAGAGAGACATCTCAACATGAAGACATGTTTCCTGTTCCTGGACTTCTTCTCGCAGAGGTAAAGCAGAGCGACAATGTTACCAACGATGCCGATGAGGTAACTGGCTGTCAAAATCAACTGGCAAATAACCGAAATATGTCGAAAAGTACGTGTGGGAGTGTCAACTGTATCGGTTGCATTGTATAAAATATCGTTTGTTAGATTTTCCTTGATTCTGTACGCTATGTACGAATCTAAGGAATCCATGTTTACAAATATTTTTTGGACAGTGCCGACCTGCGAGGTTAAGGTCGTTGAACCAGTTTGGTAAGAAAACTTTCACGCACGTTGGGTTACGAGAACATATCGATAGTAAATGAGCGTTTGTTGACAAAAGTGACGGATAACATTTTAGTAATCAAAACACTTATATTTTTAATAGTTGTTGTATTACTTCAAACACTTGATTTGAGATACGAGTTCGTCGGTTTTATTATAATTCGTCGTTTATTATAATGCGACCGCGAGTTGTCAGTTGTGCGTCCAGTCCCGCGGCCCGATATTGACTGATCGGTTTGAAGGACTACGCGCGAAATGAGATCTTCACTGGTTCCGTTCGGCATTATAAACGCACGCGTCCGGCCGTTACGCCGTTACGCCGTTACGCCGTTAAGGGCTCCCAGTTGATTTCGAATTGTCGCGAAGGAATTGCGATTCGCGAAATTTATCGGAAACGTCGCTTGGGACCGGAGACGCTGTGCTGGGCACTTTTAATCATACCTTTGATTAATGCCAAACGGTTTCCGGTTATTTTTAATTAATTGTATATACTTTATCATAAGATACAGGAATAAAAATAACTAGTGGTGTATGGCATCGTGCCTTAAAGCAGCTTTCTGGAACTTCCCGTACCGGAAGTAAATTGAAAATTGAAAATTAAATGTTTTCATGTAGATTATTTTTTCAATTACTGTAAGTTATATATGTTTACAGAAAACTAAATAAACAAAACTTAATCAATCGAATTTCTAATACTAAATAATTAGTTAATTAAAAACTTATAATTTAAAAAACACTAAAAAAATTGAGAAACAAAGTATTGATTTTTTTTCTCTAATTATTATTTTCATATAACTGTAATTGTTAAAATACTTATTAATTAGTTGACTAAAAACTTATAATTTAAAACACTTAAAAATTGTGAAACAAAATTTTAATTTTTTTATTTGATTGTTACTGCTAAAATCCTTAATAATTAGTTAACCAAAAACTTATATTTTAAGAACACTTAAATTGTGAAACAAAATATTTCCTTCATCAAAATACCTAAAAATTTGTAAAAGAAAAAAATTATTTTGTAAAAATATTTAACAATAATAATAAAAAAGATAATGATAATATTATTATTAATAATAATAATTATTACAATAATATAATGCACTTAAATTTGTTGAAATAGCATAAAATAACCTAAAATTTGTTAAATAAAATAATTATATTGTAAAAGTATTGTAAAGCTTATTAAAATACTTATTAAATTTTTAAAAATACTTGCAACAAACAAATTAGTTATATTTAAAAATAATTATAATTAACTAAATATAAATAAGTTTATAGTAAATAAATTAAATAATAAATAAATAAGTAAAAAAATAGCTAATAATTAATTAAATTATATTAAACCTATAAAATATTGACTTAAGCCTTATTATAATATTATTATACCGACGGCTTGTAAAATTAATAAATAAATAAATAAATAAATAAAAGATGAAGGACTTTGTCTATTATGTATAAGAATTATATAAACTGAATTGCAAAGTTAAAATTATTTATTTTGAGTTTATTAGTGAGCTTAAAACTTTAGCTAGAAAAAAAATAAAATTCGATTTATTATCTTCCCGTAGGACAAGTTATAGTAATCGCAAAAAAATCGAAAATGAAAATTTGTATATATCTTTACGTTTCAAAGGTTTCTGAATATTTTGGCATACCTTAGAAAAAAATTGATGTATGTGTGTGTGTGTGTGTGTGTGCGTAGGTGTGTGTGCGGATACAAATTTTTGTCGACGATTTCGGGAACACCGATCAACCGATTTTAATTATTAGAAAAACATTAGATTCGTATTGATAAGGAGACGTGCTGATTAGTTTTTGGCGACGGCAGACCTAGCCGTTCCGAAGATACGTGGCAAAAAGTGCCAAAAACGGTAACTCAGAGAACGGAGCGTTCGATTTTGATCATTCAAAAAGCTTTTTACTTGTATTGACAATATGAAAAACTGATTAAATTTTTGGGAAGGCAGGTATAACGGTTATGGACTCAATAAAAATAAGTTAAAAAAATGTCATTTGGCGGTCAAAAATGTTTATTGGACGTATGTACATCAAATTATCAGATATTTCATAGAGATTTTAATAATGTGTACACATTTTGTGTAAATTTTCTTGGGTTCCATACCAAGATTTTTAATTACGGTACGGAAAGTTCCAGCAATTTGCCTTAAGGCACGATGCCATGCAACCCACTAGTTAATTAATTGTATATACTTTATTATAAATATAATGAAATAAATAAAAGCTAGTGGTGTATGGCATCGTGTCTTAAGGAAAATTGCTGGAACTTCCCGTACCAAATTGAAATTTTAAAAATCTGAGTTATTTATAATTAAAATTAAATTAATTAAATTAAATTAATATTAAAAAAAAAAATTAAATTAATAAAAAATTTGAAATAAAAGAAAAATTCTCAAAAGCAATCGTTTCGTCAACACAAGCAGAAAGTTTTTTGATTTTTTCAAATCAGATGCTTATTTCTCTCAAAAACGGCCATTTTTGCACATTTAGCTCTGTATCTTCAAAATAAGGCTGGACGGCCTTTGTCAAAAACTAATCACCACTCCCCATTATTACAAATCGAATGTCGAAAGAAACGAATGTCGAAAAGAAAGCGAAAACAAAATTCAATATAAGAAAAAAAATTAAAGATTTCTTGTTAACTTTGTTTAAAAAATTATGTTTTTGATATATATATATATATATATATATATATATATACATTGTTATATTATATTCATAAACTTTGTTTAAAGTGTTTTTTTTATATAATTAAGACAATAAAAGACTTTTAAACCATTTTGGTGTTTACACCTTTGTCTTGAAACCTGTCTGTCACATCTATCCTTAGGGTGTGGACGGTTGTGATACCCGCCCTTTTCTTGTATAATTAACTTCCCGTAGGGTAAGTTATAGTAATCGCAAAAAAAATCGAAAATGAAAATTTTAATATATCTTTACGTTTCAGAGGTTTCTGAACATTTTGGCATACCTTAGAAAAAATGGATGTATGTGTGTATGTGGCGGTCAAAAATGTTTATTGGGCATATGTACATTATGAGATATTTTATAGAGATTTTAATAATGTGTACACATTTTGTGTAAATTTTTTTGGATTCATTACCGAGATTTTTAATTACGGTACGGGAAATTCCAGCAATTTGCCTTAAGGCACGATGCCATGCACCCTACTAGTTTAATTTTATAACCATCGTATTTAAGGACAGTATTTCAGTATTTCTAAGTTGACAAATGTCCAAATTGCCACTTAATTTTTTTCTTTCACAGCTAACTGTTAAATTAACAAAATTAATGCTGATCAAAAAAGGTGGCACAACCGTACCCAGTATCCCATAGTCTTAATTAGAAGTTGAGGTAGCAAAATAAAGAATCAATCTGTGAGATGTGAAGCACTAGATACATAACGTCGAGTAGAGATTCTAAACATAACAATAGAGTCATTAAATTCGAAGCTCGTTTCTTAGCAACTCGAGGCTCTCCATACGAGCGCTGAGAATCAAGCTTTGCAAACCGAAACACAAAGATCAAATTACGATAGAGATGAGAATTTACATTCTAGATAAAATTTAGAAAAAAATATAGAAATTTTGCACTATTGTCAATAAAACCCATTATGGACCAAGAGCCAGTGAACCTTTTGAATAACGGTGTTCCTGTATGGTTGAAAATTTTTGTACAGGTGATTCTTAACTTGCTAAGTACGAAAACGACGGTCTGGCAGGTTTTAGCCCTGCACATCATGGTCGTCCAGGCGCTTGAAAGTGTAAAAAACACCCGAAAATTAAACTTGTTCCTGTAAGGTTCAAATTTTTATACGATGTAATTTACTCATCGAGAAGTTTGAAAATCAATCTGCCAGACCATTTCGACCTGCACAAGTACCTGCCAGACGAGTCGGAAAGTGAGCAAAAAATGCCCCAAAATAAACTTTGTCCTGTAAAGCTGAAATTTACATATGTGTTTATCTAAGCAAATCTAAAAAGGTCTGTGCAATGGCCAGACCATTCTGGCTAGCATAAGCCCATGCCAGACGAGGGCAAAAATGCTATGGCGGAAGGGCGAGTAATAGGCGTTGCGTGAAAACTTATTGCATATCTTTAAACCATATTATGAGAAATTGCAAATTATGGTCAAAATAAATTTAATTAGTCACAATAAAATATATATTATCATGATTAATCATCATTATCAGATATATCGCGAATTAATATTTCATCGTCATAAGATTCGGAATTTCTGACTTATCGTCTATAAAAAAAAACAAATTTAAATATATTAATAATATAATAAGATATAAAATATTACAAATTTAAAAATTTTAACATTACCGCCTATGTGTTGATCAGCTTCGTTTGCATCCTCCTCAGCAATACGAAAAGGATGTTGTGATATTATTTCAAAAATTGAAGAAGGAACGGTATCTCCCACAAACCAATTGAAATCAAATATTTTTCCCATCAATATCCAGACAGTATTTTGAGGTTTAAGAATTGTTGGTACTTTTAAATGACTATTTGAAAACTACATCTACTCATACAGCATGTGCTGCCGTTAAAATAGACATTATTTTTTCGAAATATTACCAAATGTTTTTGGTATATTTTTCATTGAATGCAGTAAATAAAATCCATTGAAAACAACAGCATCATACCAAATTGTTTCGTTATCAGTTATGTTTGCTTTTAAGACTTCAATAATTGCTGATTTCGCGGTTTTATAGATAGTTCCATCTGCGTGGCAAAGTGACATTAAAACTATCATAACATAATATCTTTCGAACAGTTTTTGATTTTTTAAAATCGATTCGGTAGTATGAGCTTAAATGTGGACGAAAAGTTCAACACATTTTTCCAAATTACAATGAAATGGCAGATCGTCGCACAAAACTGACAAACGAGATAATCGAGGTACATCAAATGGCTTTTGAATTTCTGAAATGGGTTCAGGCGTTTTTGAGCAAACGTCGATACAAGGTCTAATTTTGACAAATGCCAAAAAAAAGCGATATTAATATTTGCAAATTTTGATGAATTTTTAAATCGGTCCAGCCGTTTTTGAGAAAACGTCGATTTACTTACGGAAAAAAATCTGTTCACACATACATACCCTTTTTCCAAATTTGGTCTCATTCGACTCAGAATGGCTTGTAATGTTGAAAACATAAAATTAGTCGGATTTTTTTATGAAAACATAAACTTCTCTTTC